TGCCTTAGTGTAATGTAATTCTGTTTGCTGAAGCAGCTGTTGTCCACTTAATTATCAAGAGGTGAAAACCCTTAGCTAAGCCAAAGTAATTTTAAAACTAAAAAAAATAGTCATTGAGCAGTCTCAGAAGCCAGTAATGGCATCCTGTGTTCCCCCATTAGGAAGCAGAGAGTTATACTGAGTTTCATCTCTCAGGTCACATTTTCCAACAGGCAGCTGTGAGCCAGGGGCAGCAGTGACATCTCCCTTGGTGTCAGGTGTGGCAGTTACTTCACCATCACTGAATATCCTCTAATGCTTGGGGTAGAAAACACTGCAGATGCCTGGCAGGGGGCTGGTGGGATGCTGGTGGGGAGCTGTGGCTGTTGATGGAGTGGGGGAGGCATAACCACTCTTGGCACACTCTGGTTGTGCCAGTGCCAGTGCCATGCCATGCCCTTGCTGCTCCCAGCCTGTTCTCCTGGAGCTCAGCTATTTATGCTCCTTTATTTATACTCCTCCTTCCTCCTGGTGTGTTTGTATGAGCTGGTTTTGGAGCTGTTGTGCACCACACACAGAGGACTGGGAAGATGCTCACAGGCTTCAGATCAGAGCAGTGACCTCAGTCCTCACGGCTCAGCAGACATCTTGCTCTTGCTGTGCCAATAAATGTGCCTTGTGGCTGACTGTGCCTTGGCATCCTTGTGACTCAGCCTAAAATCTCAGCCATGGGTCCTTTTGCTGCTAGGAGAGAGCTGGTGCCGAGCAGGTGATGCTCATGGCACAGGGATGAGTGTCCCCTGCCTGCCTCTGGCCACACAGTGATGCTGCTTGGCCCCGTGCTGCTCCGGAGCTGCTCCCTGTGGGGTGGATTAAAAAACCTGATTGGAACCAGCTCATTCCTCATGGCTCTCCAGAACAGCCCTTCAGGGGGGCTGGAGCATGCCAGGTCTGCGTGCTGGTTTCTGTGTGTCGAGGACTCCTGTGTCCCCCAGCACGGCACCTGGCTCAAGCTGGCTTTGGGAATGCAGGGCACAAGGGCTGGCATCCCTGCTGTTGTGCCTTATCCCCCAAACTTACTAATTTTAAAGCTGGAGCTGCAAAAATTGCTGATTTCCCTCTTTTAGAAATGCTTTATTTATCCTGCTTTCTTATTAAGGGCAGGAATTCATCCCCTGCCTGACGGTCGCTCTGTGGAGTGTCAGTGTTATTTGTGGTATCCCACACAACAAACACCTATTTATAGCTGAGCATTCTTGGAAGGGGTTTTGGTACCTTGTTGTCTGCAGGGAATTTTCTCTCTTGCAGGGTACTGCACTCCAGCCTGCACAGGGTGATGTTTGGATGGAGGCAGAGCACGTGGCAGGTCCATTCCCACATGGATGGCTGGTGTCCTCAGCAGCTCTCTCCTGGGAATAATTTTCCTAGGAGTTATGGCTGCAGATGTGTTATTTTCCTTTCTTGACCTGCCTTTTTTTCCCCTGGAAAAACTCCATTTCATTGATCTGACCATTTGGAGCTCATTGCAGGGCTGCTAATCACCAGGTGTAACAGCAGTATTTTAACCTCTGCATTCTCGCCTCGTGCTCAGTGTCAGCATTATAAAGTACCACTTAAAATGTAAGCACAGGCAGTCAATTACTTTAATCTTTATAACATCTGAATGTACAGCAGCTACTCCTGAGGAAAAACACTGCATCTGATACTCAGCAGAGTGGGTTTAGCTGGGAAACACCATCCCAGCACTTTGGGAAATGCCAGAATCCCACCACTTTGGGAAACTCCATCTCAGCACTGCACACACCAGCAGAGCTCAGACTCCCCCAGGGCTCATTTCTCACAGCACAAACAGTACCAATAGCACCTGGCTTCTGATTTTGGAAGGGAGCTGCATTCCTCTTACCACCTAATTCCCCTATAAACACTGCTGTTTGCATGATTTATACCCGATGGCAGACAAGGCGCAGGATCTGTGCCCACAGCACCCTCTCATGGGTGAGGGATGGGTATGGGCAAAGCTGTGGGCCCACCCTGTGCCCCAAAACTTGGCTGGGGGCTGGGCACCTCCCCACCACATCTGCCTGCTGGATCTCCAGCATCTTTGGCCATCTCAGGAGAAGGAAGAGCTGCCTGCAACCAATACCAGTCCCACCTCATCCCCAAGCTAAGTTGCCATGGGAAAACGTACCTGTTTAAACCCTCCATGAAAAAATGCCTAGTTAGACCCTCCACAAGTCTAGTTTTCACTTGTGCATTAAACAAACAGGGAATGAGTTTGTCAAATAGAGTTTGGGATGGGCAAGACAGCAGAGACAGTGCTTGTGAAACCCTCTGGATCAGCCAGGGTCGAGACTGGTTGCAGCGGGATTTTTCCCTTGTTTTGTGAGTTAGTCATAGGTTTGTTTATTTTTTTAGAGGTTTTTTTTCTTATTCATCTGTTGCAATCACAGCAGACACATAATTTCACAGCCCTACATGGAAATCCAAGACCAAGGAACTATTTTTAGTGCATAAAATATCTCCCCTAAATGTATTAACTTTGGAAGAGTAAATATTAAATATGGTCTCATCACATTAGAGGCATTTATGCAGAAGTACAGCACCAGCAGTTTTAATGGTTAGGGGAAATTATGTTATACCACCAGCACTTAATCAAACACAATAAAACAAGGTCTTGCTGCAATTCTTTCAGGATAAGCTGAAGGAAAATTAATTCCTTTCCACATCCGTTGCTGATGATTTACTGACACTGGGGGGTATTTGACCCATTAGTATTTATGATGGCACTTGCAATCTGTATGCAAAACATATAAGGACTAGCCTAACATTTATTTTGCAATTAAATTGAAATGATTCTTTGGCTACTCGCTCCAAACCAAGCCTTTCAGCACCATCTGTGATGAGGACACTATAGGCAAGCCCTGAGTGAGTACCATAACCCTATGACAGAGCCCTATGTGCTCTAACTGCCTACAAATACGTTTAATAGTAGCTTTTCATGACTTTTTATTGAGGAATCATTTCTCAGGTTGGGCTGTAGGACAGTGTGGTGCGGCTGGTGGAGCCCCAGTGCCCCAGGTCTGCCTGTCCCTGCTCTGTCTGCAGTGCCTTCATGGCTGGTGGCTCTCCTCTGGTGATGGTGAGGGGCAGTGGGGCTGCTGCCTGGGTTTGGTACTCAGGGCTGGGGTCCTGAGGTGCCTCCTGCACCTCAATCCTTCAAAAGGCAGCTTGGGGTTTAGAATGGTGTCTGTCCAAACAGAAAGATATCAGATAGGAGCTGCTGGGCTGTTCTTGCTGAGTTGTTTTTGTTGTCAGCTTGGTTTTTTTATCTCTTGTGAAAGGGGGTGTCTGGGAGAGGAGGTGACATAGAGGTGATGTTGTCTTTTCAGCAGCCCAAAATTCTCTTCCTTTGCTTGCAGGCACTTCTGTTCCATGAACTTCTGTTCCACATGCCCATTTCCATGATACATCCAGCTAGACCATCCCATCTCTGGTCTAATGCAGGTGCCAGCAGGCAGGGAGGCATCTTCCCAGGAATTTGGCCAGCTCTCTCTTCCATGAGCCTTAAATATTTTGGAGACAAAATCCTTGCCAGTTTGTAAAGATGATGCCTCATGTTCCCCAGCATCAGATCTCTGAGATCCATCTGGGCTTGGCATCATCCCCTTGGACATTTTGGGGCTGGGAAAGGGGTTGCTGTTTCAAGTTAAACAGTAACAGTCAGGCTGGCCTTGCTCCCTGCTTTATGGAACTGAACTCCTGAGTATCTCCCTGCCTTGAACAGGTGAAAAACTTGCTACAGAAGGCAACTCTTGAACTGGCTTTCTGACAGGTTCATGCACATTGCTGTGGGCATCACACCTGCACTGAGGGGCTCTGAGGACTAGACTGGAGTTTGAGTTCATCACTGGGTGCCTGGAGTGCTGTGAGCAAGAACACAGCCCAGTAGCAAAATCTTTAGTTTTTGGCAATAAACCAATCCTTTCCCTTGTCATTGAAGAGCTAAATGTGAGGCCATGGTCGTTGCTCCACCCTCCAGAACACCCATCTCAGATGAATGGTTTTGCTGTCTTCACCGTGCACCATGACCTACCTGATTAATCAATTAACCAATAAATTGAACAAAGTATGTCTACTAAATAACTCATTTTCCTTCAGCAGCCTGAGCACTTGGGTGATTTTACAGACGAAAAATGTGCCAGTAAAGGCCAGAGAAGGTGGAAGAGCCATTCCTTAATGACTCAAATATTTGCTGAAGCAAGGCAGCACCCTTGCCTGTGTCCTCCAAACCAGCCAAGCCTGCACAAGATGTGGCTCCCATTCAGGTTTATAAAGCTGTGTGATGAGCCCTGTGCTCCCACCACACTGCACAGGTGGAGGGTCAGGCTGCCAACCACAGCCCGTATCAGCAGAGTCACAGAATGGTTTGGGCTGGAAGGGACCTTAGGGACCATTTAGTTCCCATCTCCTTCCATGGGCAGGGATGCCACTCACTGGACAGGCTGCTGGTTGGTGTCAGCAGGATACCAGTCTTACAAACAGGAACACATCACTGGAGTACTTTGGATTTCACAGCTTGCTTTTGCTGCCATGAATAGCAGATCTAGCAGTGTGTTTCCCTGCCTGTTAAACCAGCTCCTGGTGCAAGAAGCTGTTCCTCTGAGCATCCTGTCTGGCAGCAGGACTTCCTCTGTGGGCTTTGCTCCAAGTCTGCAAAACAAGACTTAAATCTCCACCAGAAAGGGGGCTACCTTGAATTACAGGAACTTTCAGGCATGGGGAACTCTGTGAACATCCTCTTGCTTGGGCTTGCCCTTCCAGCTGTTACAAATGTCTCCAGCTGTTTTCCCAAGAGCTGGCTAAGATTTGGCAATGGAAATGCAATGAAAGTTCAAAAATGTGCTACTCACAGGCAGAGTGGCTGCATCAGCAGGGCTGGACCAGCCCTGCATCCCCACAGAGCTGCATCCCTGGGATGAGCTTGCTCTGTGTGACCATGCTCACCACACCAACACGAGGTACACAGAAAACACTGCTTTATTGACTGCATTAGCCAACACATTGAGGAATGCAAAGGGGTTTCTTTTCATAAGCAATGGGCCATGGTCCCAATGTGTATTAAAGCATACACTGTATCTAAACAGGATGAAAATAATGGCAGACAGAGCTATTCCAAGGCAACACAAATAGCATGCATAATACAGTCTCACACAGAACGAGTTTGATAACATTATATTGCTTTAAGGATTAACTAACATGGAAAATGTACAAAAAGGAGAAATAGGTTTTTGCATTAATGAAAAATACATTTTTTCTCTACAAAGGAATTTCTAATACAAGAAAATAAATATTGCAACATAAGCCAAAAATAATTTAAAATTGCTCTTTTCAATATATTTTCAATATTTCTCTTTTGTATTAACAAATGGCACATCACGTTCTTTGAAACAAAGAAAACAGAAGGGTTTCTCCTCCTGCGACATTCATATCGTTTCCTGTAACTGATGTGAAGTGGGTTGTTTTGAATGTGGAATGGTGCAAACTGCAGGGGATTTCCTTAAAGAACAACCAAACCTCATGCCCTGCCCTGTAGCAGCATCTTCCTGCAGCCTGCATCCATCCTGGCTCCATTCTGCATCCAACCTTGGGGCGAGCTCCATGGGACAGCAGGCATCCTAACCCCATAAAACAGGTGCAAGTGGAAAAAAAAAAAAGAAAATAAAAAAGAAAAAAAAAAGTATCAAAAGATGGGTGTGGGGAAAATGGGAGTGTGGAATGGGAGCTGTCCTGGGGAAACTCCCTCAGCCATCAGGGTTGGGGCTGGTGAGTGGCTGTCCTCCATCAGGGAATGATGCTTTCTGCATCCTCACCTCAACAGCTGCTGCTTCTCCAAGGAAACAGGTGCTCTTACAGTGCAAATGTCAATTCCTGCAGTTTATACATCTTAAAAGATAACATTTCTGTACCAAAATAAACCTTTTTTTTCTTCTCTTTCTATTCATTTCAAAATACATTTACATTAACATCAAAAATATTTTCCTTGTGCATTTTCTCTCCAGAACACCAGACTCCCCTGCTCCCAGGACACTCCAGGCAGGGGATGCTCTGGGGTGGCTGCAGCCATCCTGCCATGGTCCAGCCCTTGCTCAGCCCCAAAGCTCACCAGAGCCCTTTTCCTCCTCTCTATTCCTGCCATCCCATTCTTCTCCTGCACCCCACCAGCTTGCTTAGCTTTCCCCCCCCTCCTGATGGCAAAACATGATGCCTGATGTTTTGGGAGTGTTTCAAACTGTGCTATTGCCCAGTGTTGGAGGTGCCAGGTTGGTTGTTCTTTAAAGTTTCCCCATTTTTGCTTTCCTGTACTGAGAAGACAAGTAGTGCAGAAGCTGATGAATGGAACTGTGTACAGTGAAATTTGTGGATTGCTTTTTTTTTAACCATAATTGAGTGAAGCACACGGAAGCAAGATTCATTAAAAGGCAGCATATTGATTATTGTTATGACTCGTATACTAGGATACTGGAGCTAAAGCTAGCAAGCCTGATAAGATAAACTAAGTCCTATTTACTGTATTTAACATTATCTGAACATACTGAGCCTTAATTAATGAGCAGATTTTCATTTCCAACCTCAATGGATTATGCTAATTTATAACAAAGGTAATTCCTGTTTTGTTGGTATTTTGCTGTTTTTTTGTTTTCTTTTTGTTTTTTCCCACTAATAACTTGTGTCACATTTTTCCCATGTGAGGAAGATTCCTTCCCAGGCACGGTCAGTCTCAGCCAGGTGAGTGTTGGGCTTAGGCAGGGCTGGGCATCCCACCCGCAGCCCCCACCGGTCGCCGTGTCTGGGATCAGCTGGGCTGTCATCGCTGATCTTTGCTGCAATTTTATCAATAATAAGGACTTTGGAAGGCTGATAAAGATGATGATCTACTCTAAAACATCAATCGGAATAGTCTCAGAGTTTCAAAAAGAAAGCTCACAGTGAAATGAGCAAAAAGCATCGGAAACCAAAATGGCAGGATGCAGTCTTGGAGCAGCAGCATCCCTCGGAGCAAGCTTGGAACCTAACGCCGCAGCAGTGTGGTATGAGTGTGTCTTTAGTCCTTGGTTGCTAAATAACTTCCAATTTTTTTTCATAATGACAAGTTTCCGGTTTCTGGCTGTGCTGCTTGACTGTCAAAATATTTCTTTGGCATCCACAAAATTCTTTGACTGATTGGTTTGACAATTGCAAGGTTTTTTTGTTTAGTGATGGGTTTAACCGGTTGCAGAAGTGTCCCAGGTTTGGGTTGGTTTTATTTTTTTTTTTTTGTTCCCTGAGCTCACACTGGGGTCACTCCAATAAAACACGTAGCATGACTTAACTGTGACCTTTGAAGCCAAAACCGAAGTAATGGTGCAATTAAGTGCAAACATGGAAATTCGCCTGACTTATAGGTAACATGGGCTTTTAAACAACATTTAAGGCTTATTGGGGACATTTTATGCATTAAATTATTGTAATATTTATAATGTCAGCTTCTGTGAATCACCCCTCCACAACGAGTCAACAGCTTGTAACCAGGATTTAAGGTAAAAAACAAAACAAAGGATGGAGAGGAATAAATTCACCATTTCCATTGTAGCATTTAGAAGGAAAACATAATAGTGGTGGCAAGGGTTGCCATTTCCCCTCAGTGACGGCACATTTGGCCTTGGGGCCATGGTTTTGGTTTGTAAGGGGGACATTTTCAAATGTGCTGCCCTGGCATGGTGGGACCACGGCAGCATTGGAGGGAAGCAACCCTGACTCCCCATGGTGGTTTTAAAGGATGCTTTCCTCCTCCATCCTGCCCCACATTTCCATTTTCCACTTGCTCATCCAGTCACCTGAGTAAATCACTTCAGTGCTTCTAAGAACCTCACCAGGGGCATGGACAGGGAGGACTTTTGCATCCTGGCCCCTGGACGGATCCCAACCAGATGGAAAGGTGAGGGGAAAAATAATGACCAAGAGGTTTTTTTCCCTAAAAATAGAAATGTAACATTGCTCTCTTCCACCCCAAGCGTTTTCCTCCAACAAGCTTTTTGTGCTTTAGTCATTATTTATTTTAGAATCGCTTATTTCCTTCTCTCCGCACACACAGGTGGGAATTTCCCCTCCCACAGCTGGCCACTGCCGGACCCTCTCCTCGCTCCCTGCTCTGAGGGCAACCGTCCCAGGCAGAAATCTGCCCCTCATTAAATAATGCCCATTAATTGAACTGTCATCCCTGCAGAAAGCACGGGTACCGGCACCCTCCACCCTCTCAGCACCCTCGACATCGGTCCTGGCGGGTGCCGGCTCACGTTCCCAGGAAGTGGGGTCTGGCAGGGAGCCGGGGAGGGACCACTGCTGTCACAGTCGTCGATGTCGGTGAAGCTGAAGCTGTATCTCAGGCGTATCGAGAAGAGAAAGACAACAGTGCCGAATTTCCAACTATATACACATATTAAAAACCCCCCTCGCCGTGACACCAGGCAGAAATTGGACATGGCAGTTGGAACTGGGTTGAGGCCTCATCGAGCCGGCGTGGTCGGAGCAGTTAGGACGCCAGGATGCTCATCCTGACGATGTCCTCGCCGGCCGCGTCCAGCTGGCCCCGCTGCGCGCGGCCGCCGCGGGACTCCCCGTCCGAGTCGCTCATCTCGGCGTCGGAGAAGTATCCGTCCGTGTCGGCGTCGAAGCGACGCAAGGGAGCTCCGCCAGCGCCCTCGGCCTTGGGGGGCTGCGACCGCCGCGCCCCCCGGCTCTCCTTTGGTAATTTGAACCGCACGATGGTTTTGGGGCTACCTATGGAGTCAGGCACTTTGGCCGCGGGGCTGGGCTCCGTCTGAGCGCAGCGCGGCGTCTCCTCCTCCTCCTCCTCCTGGCTGACGCAGCCCCGTGTCCCAGCAGGGGCATGAGGCTCGCTGGCTTTCTGGAGAGAGCCCTTCCTGGCCACCCTTTTGGCCTCGCCCGTCCCTTTGCGGTCGGTGGGAAGCTTTGCTGCCCCTTTTTCCGACTTGCTCGGTCTGGAATCCAGAGCGAAGGGCTTGGCGGGATCATCCGACAAGTTGCTGGCATTGTTAGTCCAGGGCTCCGAGCCCTCCGGGTGGCCCCCACCCACTGCAGAGGGGCTGCTCCTTGGCAGCTTTTTCTTAGTGTTCGTTCTCGTTCTGCTTTTCACTTTCTTTGTGGTCTCGCTCTGCCTGAATGGGGACCTGAGGGAATGGTCCATCATGAAGCTCAGCAAGGTCTCCTCATCCTGGAGGAGCTCCTCGGAGAGGCCAGGGGTGCTGGCCTCATGGTGGGCGTTGTTGAGTGACCACTCGCTCATCGCCATGTTCTCCGCTGTGATCTGCACTGACTGTGCCAACCAGCTGTTGAAGAAGGTCCCATCGATGGGGAAGGAGGTTGACAAGCCTGGGAAAAACAAGAGTGGAAGATTGCCTCAGAAGCCAGGAACAGGAACAGCCATGTTGCCCTCTATCACCATCACCCACTCCACCAAAACTCCCTGGCACTGGAGAAACACTCGAAAGATCAACTGCACCGCACAACACCGGACACAGAGCGGGGTTCACCCCAGCACTAGTGCTGAACTTGGGGTTCACTGGGGTCACAGCACAACAACCCGAGCACTCCCTCACACCTAACTCTCCACAAACCTCCCTGAATCCAAACCAAGATTCTTCCTTCAGTGAAGATGACAAGGAATGACACACCCCAGCACAGGTGGAAACATTCTCATGCAAAGGTGGAAGACAAACAATTCAAGTGTAAGTTGAAAAATATGGTGACAGAGCAGGACTTGTGCCCAGACAGGGGATGACAGGTTCCTCAGGAAGCAGCTGCTGCAAGGCCACCCTCAGAACTAATCAGCCAGCATGGTGATGGGACCACTGCTACATCTGCAGGTCTGAAAACATCTCAGAAGGCATGGAAACTGAAGAAGAAGACCAGAGATGAAGGCTGGAATGGAAAAAGCTGAAAAACTTCCTGATAATGATCACTGAGAGCAAGAGTGAGCACTGTGGGCTGGGCTAATTGGGTCCAATTAGCAATGGGAAGGTGCACACCTACACAGGCACAGGCAGTTTTAATCTCTGAAATAGAAACCCACAGGTTCAACATTTGAGTTGGTTTTATGGATGAAGGAAAAATGAGATTTAAATCTGGATTTCAGGAAGAGCTTTCCTTTGAAACAGTCGGTCTAGCAACAGAGAGGGAAAGAGCAGTGGCTCAGGCAGGGTGACTCATGCCCACAGTGTTTGCTGGCAGCAGTGTTGGCCTTACATCACCTTCACCTATGAGCAGCAACACAGGCTGTGACCCTGCATCTCCTGCAACTCACCACAGCCTTTCTGGAGAAGACAGCACCCCACCTGAGCAGGGAAGGTGAAGCAGGAGCAAGGATGAACTTTGGCCACTGTGTGGTACCCAAACACCAAAAAGCCCAAGATCTGTGGGCAAGGGCACTGCCCAGTTCACCTTCCCCAGCCCTGCTCTGAGGACAGCAGCCCCAAGGGATGCTTCAAACCCTTCACAAAATGCAGGAGGTAACAAGACCTTGGTGAAGCTTTGGGTCAGGTTGACTAGTTTCCCAAGCCCATAGCCATGCAGTTTCCTCTGAGATTCTCCAGCCTCCACTGTTTGCTGGAATTTGCCCCAGCAAATCCAAAACTTCTTTAGCAAAGACAGAATGAGTGCAAAAGCCCCATTTCCAAAGGTCCAACAGCTCTGAGATGACCAGAAAGCAGCAGGTGAGCAAATGTGCAAAACAGTGCAAGGCAGGGTGGTCCAGACCACCAGATCTCCCACAGAAATGCTCTGTACCCCCTGGAGGGTTTTAGAGCATCTCCAGACTGCCCGAGAGCCTCAAAGGACCAGTGCTCCCCTGTGCCCTGGCAGCTAGGCACATGTGAACTCATCACCTCCTTGATGTATTGATGCCTCTGCTGGTGGAGGTGGCAGCACCAGAGGAAGTCAAGCAACAACCCAATTCCATGTAAAAACCATATGCAGTTGTCAAGGACCTTGTCCAAAACAACCTTTTTGTTCTGTTTCTTTTTCTTCCCCCAGCCCTGCCTGCTGCTGTAGGCGATGGGGACCTGCTGGAGGTGGCTGAAGCATCTGTAGGGCCAGGCTCCTCACCCCCTGAGCAAATCAAGAGATGGATGCACTTTGTGTCTGACTTCTGGATGTTCCTGCACCACTGGCACAACCAGCATGGCCATATCTACCATGGATGGTACACGAAACCTCACAGCCCACGTGCTGTACTCACCACCGCTGCACAGCACAGAAGGCACAGCCCTGCCATGGGGTGGGTAAGTCTGATTTTATCATCTGAAAGTGAAATCCCGCTCCAGCAGCACATCACAGGTTTTGTAACTCCAATCCTGGAGCTACATGGGGGAATTTTAAATCCCCTGCCCTGCCAGTGAGCATGCTTCTGAGCCAGTCTCTCTAGCAGGACCTGGATAATTCAGGCTGATTCCCACAAAGGAGAGATGGAAAGTGTAACTCCACCGTGTTACGTGCAGGAGGGATCATGGGCTGGGACTCTTAACCCTGCTCCCCAAAACAGGGAGCCTCCGGCATCGCGGGTCAGCTCTGCGCCATAAAATCAGACTTACCCAGTTGTCCCAAAACAGTTTCGTTGACCGATTTCCTTTTCTCTGTCTTCTCAGGACTATTTTTTCTACCATCTCTTCCTTTCCTTCTTGGGTCACTTTTCTTACCCTTTGTCTTCTTCCCAGTTTGTTCTGGCATTTTTTAGAAAGAAAGGAAAACGCCGTGTGAGACGAGGCATCAGGGATGCTGCAGTGAGCGAGTTCCCCTGGGGCACACCCCTGCACTGCAGACCTGCAAACAACTCCAAGCCAGAGGGAGAACAAGGGCCATTCCTTGGCCAGCTGCAAGCTAAGGTTTCTACATGTTAAGAACATTTTAATCCTGTAGGTTATAAAAAAAGGAGATTTTAGCCTTGGAGAGGAGTGGCCACAGGAGCAGCCCCACTGAAGGCAGGTGACTTGCTGGAGACTCTACAGCCACAGACCTGGACCAGGACTTTGGAGTGAGGACCCACTAGGGAGTAACCCCAAATCCTGCTCAGACACCTTGCAGGAGCCATGGTCACCTACAAACCTGGTGCTGTGTCACCCATCACCAACAAGAGCATCTCCAGAAGGGATTCAGCTGCACAGCTACACTGACAGAGCAAAGGTACCAGCAGTTTTAAAGCCAGCCTTGATGTGAACCCTTTGACAAAACTGTGCAGGAGTGAAAAAAACCCCGAAGTGACAGAGGTAAATGAAGCAGGAAGGATGACCAGGACTGCCTATGAAAATGTAGGAATCTAAAGGTAGGGAGCTATACAGACATTAAAGTGATAGAGGTAAATGAAGCATGACCAAAGCATCCTTCCAAAAGGAAGGATGACCAGGACTGCCTATGAAAATGTAGGAATCTAAAGGTAGGGAGCTATACAGACATTCAGCTAAAAATTAGCATTTCCTAAATGGCTTTGAACATCTACTGGATTTATTCCACTTGGGTAAACAGGACAAATACCCTATAAAAGTACCACTTGTATTGCCAAGTAAAATACTTGCAGCAGTTTTTACTTACTCTGTTAGGCCATTCTCCCCCAAAAGTCCGTGCTAAAACTTCTGTTAATTTTCAGAGAGGGAAGGATACTGCCCTTAAACCAAAATGTGGGTGGCTCGTGGAAATGGAGGCAAGACAGGCAGTTTTTCAGAGTCTGGCCCATAGGCTAAACAATGATCTTAAGGAAGAAATCAGTTTATTGTGTCAGCCAACAGCAAATCCTCAGCAGAGAGGCCATGGGGTAGACGGGTCAGAGGGAATAACCTCAGCTCTCCCCCTGCAGCAGCAGTGGAAATGTACTGGGTGAACAGGGGAGGGAATTTACATTGCACCTGCCTGAGTCTGAATTCACAGAGGATTTACAGTCCTGGAGTTGCTAGCCAGGAACCCCTCCTGACCAAAGGACTTACAGAAAGAAAGAAATGCAAAAGCAAATTTGGTATTTGCTACGTTCCTGCCAAGTAATGGGAGGAAGGCAGACACATTTTTCACTTCGCTTACAAAATCAAAATCTAACTTTGTTTAGACAGCACAACGGGGCTAAAGAGGAACCCAAGCAGCACTTTTTGAAGAGGAACCTGTCAAAATAGTAGCCGTGTTTCAAAGCCAGACAGTGTTTACTTTCCACTCAGTGCAAGAAAAATACAAGGAAGAGTGGAAGGTTCATTTTACATGGGAAGTTCTCACTGATTTTATTAAGAATCTCCTGCTTAAATGATCATTTGACAGCGGGAAAAATAAACCCCTCCTGTTCTGAGTTTTGTGTGGGAGCTGGTCCAAAAAAATCTTTGTGCCAAAACCATCTTTGGAACAACCCCAACAGACCTCAGTCGATGGCTACTGTAACAGCAGCTAAAAACTGCCCTCATCCTGGTGAAATAACGGAGACTTCTTCCTTTCTCCAGGAACCCCAGGTATGGAGAGCGTCCTGGTCAGGAGCTGTAGGGGAGGATGCTAATGGAACCTTTCCCCTCTTCCAAACCAGTAAGTGCTTTGTAATGCTGGAAAAGGCAGCAGTGAGTTGTCCAAAGCTTTGGTTCCACTGGATGCTGAGTATCTGCAGCTCCTGGTGTGGTCTTGGCAAGGGAACTCCTCCTGAGCTCAGGACATTTACAGACTGATGCCAAAATGCACTCGGGTCCCTAATGTCCCCCTGCCATGGGAAGGACCCAGATGTCCAAACCACCTGGAGATCCCAGGACCAAATTCCTGGAGCTGTTTCCCTGGCAGCAGGGACTCATGGGAGCTGGGTCCCAGAGGAAGCAGTCAGTCCCTGCTCAGGCTCAACCAGTAAGTCCATCCTGGCAGAGACAAGCAGCTCAGCTCAGTTGCTTCAGAGTGGAAAAGTGCAAACACCAGCCAGGTAGGGCAGGAGAGAAGAGCATCTGCATCACAAGGTCTGAAGTGATCCCTGCACACCAATCCCCACCCAAGCCACCCTCCCACTGTGGGTTTGTTTCTGATCACTCACCTGTGGGCAGAACAAACATCATGGGCAGCCATGCTTTTCTCAAGTACTCCCATAACATTTCTGGGAAGGGCAATCGCACAGTACTGACACTGGGCAATGCAGACAACCCCAAAACATCATCAGCAGAGCCTCAACACAGCTCCCCATCACTGCCTGGCATCTGCACCCCACTGGTGAGGCTCCCTGCTCACCTGCTCCCGCTCTCCCTGGGAGGAACTGCTGGCTCCCATCCCACTACAGCATCAGAGAGAGGGTTGGGCATGTACCCCCAAGGCATTCTGGAGAACACAGGTCCCCAAGGGCATTTCCAGCCATCTAACACCTTGTCTGCAAGTGAGGAGAGCTTAAAAACCCCTCCTGGCAAACTACCCTGTGCCTATCTCCTTCTGAGAGCTGCGAATGCTGGGCTGGGTTTGCCCAGCTGAACTAGAGATCATCCTGAAGTCCCCTATGATGCCTCCAAAACCCACAGAAGCTGGCAGTGACAGCACATGGCAGGTGGTGCTCCTGGCAGGGATGCTGCTGACTAGGGTGGTGAGGTGGGGGTCCAGCTCAGGGATAATGTGCACATTATACCCTGGGTGCCAGGGAATGGATGTGCAGTGTGGGGTCCCCAGTCGGTGGAAACACCATTTGTGTGTGTTCAGGCTGCTGAGCTGTACCTCTGGTCCAGTAACGACATGCAGAGCAACACAGAGTATGACAAGGACTGGGATTTACAGGAGCCACATCACCCCAGAGCACATCCTGGGGCCCCAGCCCTCCTGCGCCCCATCGCTGCCTGGCCTTGGCTACCAAGAGGAATTTGCATGGGCCTGAGTCACAGACATCTCAGCATACACATTCCTCAGCCTCCAAAACTTCAGTCAAAGGAGACTTTTGTCAAGGAAAGCTCAGCCCAGACAGTTCCTGAAGAAACCCCAACCATGTGATGGCTTCAAACACAACTCCAAAGCCACAAACACAACAACCGTCGGAAGCAGCTGCCAAAGCACCAGATGCTGCTGCTGGAAAAACTGTTCTGCAGCCACGGGGTCTGGTCTGCCCTGCCACCGGAGGCAGAGCAGGAGGAGGAGGAGGGAGAAGGAGCTGTGGGCTCCAGCACTGCTTGTGCAAAAGGAAAAAAAAGTAGGACAAAAGGAAACCAGCTTTATTTCAGCTCCTTAATAAAAGTTGGCAGAGGCTTTGCAGTCAGCAGCATGATCTCCAGTAAGGGGTACGTGAAGCGGGGAGCTGCAGCTGGCCAGAGCTAAAGGAGCTGGTCTCCTGGAGCAACAGACTCCCCACCAGCAGCTTAACCCTTGATTCTTGACAGAATGCTCAAAGGCATCTGCAAAGAGCTTGAAGCAGTGCTTCCACCCTGTGCCAGGGAGCCAGCTGCAGAGCAGCCCATGCCCAGGATGTGCCACCTCCTCCCAAGCAGTCCCAGCTCACAGAAGTCACCAAATACTGTCTGAGCATCCCCACCTAAACAAATGCTTGGTCCTGCTAATTTCTGGGAAGGGGAGTATCAAGGGAGATCTGTGAAAACAAATAGCTCCAGCACTCCAGTCAGCCTGGCTCTGTGAAAACAAATAGCTCCAGCACTCTCAGTCTGGCTTTATTGAGTGTTTCTGAGTCAATATATGAACCATGCCAAAATAACATATCAGGGGAGGGGGCAGCTCTGGCTTCTCTGGCACACAATTTGGCTTCAGTGGGAAGTGTCTGTGAGAACAACTTTTGTGGTACTGACCTGGGTAAAGATCTTTCTCAATAAGCTTCATCTGGAGATGGAAGATCTGCTCCTGCAGTTTACAAATGGTGTGTTTCATTTTCTCCCGTCTTGTCACCATGTAACAGAGATTTCTAACCTACGGAAACACAAGAAACAGTGTCTGGTTTAGGCAGGGTCAAAGCAGGTCCCCTCAAGCTGTGTTGCTGCTCCTGCTGCCTGGGGAAATCCCCACTCCCTGGGATTCCATCCTTTTCACCTCACCATCACCTGTGCTGCACTCCTACCATGGCCCTTTGGGTGAGCCAGTGAGGGCTCCTGATCCAAACTGTGGGGTACCTATGGGAAAAACCATGCTGTGAATAATTCCAAGCCCAAACACCTCTGTCCTGGCTCCAAGAGCCAGGACCCCACGGTGGGCAGGGAAGGCTGGAAAGGAAGATGCTGTAGAAGGAGCATTACAACACAGTCATGGAAAGGGCCAGCACCAACCATCTGAGCACTGTGCTGAGTCCTTGGCCCAGCAGCTGCACCAGGCACATGTCCTGTTCACACCTGACACAGCCACCTGCACAAAAAAAAGCCAAATTTGAGGAAGCATCTTGGTGCTGCTGCAGTCAATGCATCAGTTCTCTTACATAAATTGCACCTTTTGCAGGGAGGGATAAACCCTCTTCCCACAGCCAGTGCAGGGAAGGGACTGAGCTGGGATGGGGATGTCAGAGCCTCACACAACTGCCCTAAAGCAGATACCAGGAAAAGGCATAGAAAATACAGCAAAATACCCTGGTGATGCTGACCAGGTCAGCAGCTGGAGCAGCTCCCTCCCTTAAACCTGGCCCCTCCATATGGTTACTCACACTTGCTCCACAGCTACCTGCAAATCACTGGTGCATTTTGTCCCGGCTCAAGAACTTCCATTAACCATGGCAGTGGGGATGGAAGAAGATGATCTTTTAAGGTCCCTTCCAACCCAACCCATTCTATGATTATCTGAAGCTCTAAACACAAATAGCAAAGCACAAAATATAAACTGCTCACGTGAGCCAGTGCAGCAGCAGCAGCTAAACCCTGCTGCTGATAAACACCCCCAGCAGCACAAGATGACAGAGCTACTGCTGATAACTCCTGGCACTTGATGAGTTTCAGTGCCATGCTTTTGCCAGCCCCACGGAAGGGTGGCTGGAGAGCCAGGCTCTGGCACTGCTGCCACAATGGACATCAAGGCTTTTGGAACAAGCAGAGGCTTTCAGCTGCACAGCACAAAATGCTAATGGCAGCTAACAGGATTTGACAGCATTTACTCAGCCTTTTGATACCCTGAAAGAGCAAAGCTGCCTGTATTCAGGTAAGGAGGAGGTGGCCTGAACAGAGGAACATGCACATGGGGATGTCCACACTCACATGTGACCCTGCTGTCTTCGATTCCTCCCCCTCCTCATGCTCACACCCTTCTCTGCAGAAAATATTTCCAGGCTTGGGGGACTGTCCCAATGTGGCCAGGAGCCTCTGCATCTCTCACAATGACACAGCAAGGCAGGACATCATCCCACACTTACCTTGTATCTGCCACCAAAGGCTGTGAGGGCAGCAGGACAACTGCAGTCAACCCCTAATACTGCCTCACTTAAGGACAATTTGGGAATGTTTAGAAAAAAAGGAGAAGAAGCTGCTCTTATTTTTGTTGTTGTTGTTGAATCCCCCAGCTGTAAATACAAGGCAGGCAGTTCTATAGCATATTTTACTATGTTCTCTTTTTTCTTTCTGGATTGGAGAAAACATCAAACTATTTCTTTATGAAGAAAACAACTGCTTCTGGCAACCTGACTCTTCAAGAGCTTGGCCATATCTCTTCTCTATGATTTGATATTCCTGGAAGAAAACATTACTTTAGCTTTGCTTAGAGACTGCTGGTATTTACCCACACTTACACAGCTCAACACCACCCAGTGCTGCTTCCCCAAGCCAAGTTTAGATGCTGGTGTGAAAGCCTGGAAACCACAGCTTTTTGTTAAAGTTATTTTAAACACCCAGTCCTTGGAAAAAGCTTTTTTAAAAAGGCAAAGAGGGTTAAAAAAGGCCAAAAATAAAATGGGGGAGGGGCGCTGTATTAGGATGCCCAGTTAATAGCTTTAATTTGCTAACACTGTGAAGTACAGAAATGTCAGGGATTAAATGACAAAGAGAACCACCACTATGGCTGTCCCCATGTCATCTGCTCTCTGTTTCTGCCTTCCCAATTCCTGGACCCCTATACCATCATCAGCTCCAAAATCACTTCTGCCAGATTGATTGCTGAAATTGCTAAAATACATAATAACATCCTGTGGATACCCTTTGAAAGCCTTCAGAGCCTTCCAGGCTGCTCCTTTCTGATCCAAATTTGATGCGATTCCTCATTATTTGCAAGTGAAACAGGGTGGCAGTGACCTGGCAGGTGCAGGATCAGATACCTGGGATGCTCTGCCCACAATTGGATTTAAACCCCATCACCCATCTGAGCACTGGACTTTGATCTGGCTGGTGTTTATTGTTCCACTCTTGGAAGCAGAACAAACAAACAGCTCTTCCAGGGACAGGCTGCGAAACCTGGCAGGGAGTTGCTAAGCAGAGGCTGAATGCTGATGGGCACACCCCACAAAGCCTGGAGGCAACTCTGGAAAATGAGAAATCTGGTAAAACACGTAGTTTTGACAAAGAAATCAAAGAGAAGCTGCCGTGGGCAAAGCATGGTACCCAGGGATGCACAGTGGTTCAGTGCAGCTGGAAAAGCCAAGCTGGGAACAAAAGGAAGCAGCAGGAGACAAAGCAGCCTGGTTTAGATTTACAGTGTAGAGCAGATGAGGGGAAAAAGTGAGTTGAACTTGTCACCTCGGATCAGGCAGATGCAGCCTGTTGCTGGAGACCCACTAATGGTGGCACCAGACCAGCACAACACAGAGATGGAAATGAGGTAAGTAAAGGCAGGAACAAAGAGGGGACAGACTGGCAGAGGGATGGCAATGATGACCACAGGGATGAAAGCCCACAGAATCACAGAAAATAGACCAACAGGTTCAAATCCAACTATTTCCACACAGAAGAAGGCTCTTGGGCTCCAGGATGAGGAGGTGGGTGCAGCAGGGGACCAGGGCAGGCTGGTCCAAAGCTGAACCCCCACCAGTTCAGGAACACAGTGCCCACCCACAGTGCCCTTCTCCCCACAGGTTCAGTCATGCTACAGGCCACAGCAGACTGAAGAGAGGGTTCAGGGACATGCAGAGGCAGCATCCCCACCACCTTCACCTCCCATGGAACGCCATGTCACCTACTGCACCCTCAGCCCCTGCTCAGGAAACCACAGCATCATATCCACCAGGTCAGAACAACGCTCTTTTCCTGCTTTCCTTCCTCCTTGCTCCTAGAGACTCCCTAAGCTGTGGGTAGGTGGTCTAACAGGGACCCGGGAAAGGGCAGTGGATTCACCCCTTTGGCAGGAGCAGGAGAGAGGGGACCAGGCAGAGCTTGGGTATTCAGCAAAGGAAGTGAAGGAGCTTGGGCTGTGCATGCCAAGCTCAGCATCCCTGCCCTGCCTGACCCTGTCCCTGTGCCACTGCTATGCCCACGTGCCTCCCCAGCAGCAGCACTACTGCACCTGTCCCCTCTCTGCCATCTCACCCCAGCTTCTGTGTGTGCTTCCTCTTCCCCTGTGTCTGCTCCTCTTGCTGCTTCTCACCTTCATGGCTGCTCCTCCTCTCCACCTCTGCCCCATCCCTGCTCCTGCCCTCCGTGCAGCCATGACAGCCAAATCCACAGGCAGCTGCACGGTGTGGCAGCAAGCCCAGCCCAGGGAGCTCTGGCATCACTTGGGCACTGCTGCTCCACCAATGCTCCCGCTCACCCAAAAAGCTGCTGTGGAAACTGCTGCTTCCTCTGCTCTGGCTGGGAGGATTCAAGGATGTCCTGCACCACTGGGAGCTGCAGGTGCCTGCATCCCCGGCTCTGCCTCTGCCAGCAGCTCCCTGAGGAGCTGACCCACTTTTGGCTGCAGCAGGGCAGGGGATGCCCAGTCCCACTGGCCCTGCTCTCACTCTGCCTTTCACTCATCTTTGATGTTTAATGTTAGTAAATAACGATGTGCTCCCAAGCCTTGCTGCTGCAAAGCACCTGAGGGGCAACACAGGATAATTTTGTGAAACTATTTAGGTATAGCGGACACAAGCTGCAGCACCACCTGCCTCCCATCCACCCAGCCCTGCCCAGGCACCTCTCCCTGCAGACATTTGTTCTTTTGAACTCCCGGGTGCGCCCAACACTAACTTATTCTATTGATGTCAGTGTTTTGGCAGAGATGACGTACACACACCGAGCACTGCTAAATTTCTGAATTTCTGAATGAAGATGAAAGAACAAAACTGTAAGGGGAGTCAAACTGAGTCAGGGGGAGCAGGGCTTGTGCTGTCTGTGGGTCCAGCACACAGGCACACCACTGAAGGAGAAGCTGTACTCACCCTCTCCAGGTCTTGCCTGAGGTGCATGAAGAGCTTTAGGCGTCGGTACAGAACATCCTGCTCTTGCTGAGCCAAGTTGTCCACTTCATCCGTTTTTGGTGTCAGCAGCGGTTTGTTGGAGTTTGCTTTCCTCTTCAGCTTCCAGTACTGGTAGACAAAGTCCACCAGTGATTCACTTAAGTCAAGGTTCTCTGCCACCTCTGAAGGCTTCACGAGCTCATAGAAGTCCTCCTCCAGCTGCTGGAGCTTCTGCTTCCGCAGCGTGACCTTCTCCAAGTCCAGCTGGGCTTGGTCGGGCTCTGTCCGTGCCTCCTCGGGCAACTTGGTGGCGCCGGTGCTGTGCTCGAGGCAGAAGGACTTGAACTTCACCTCATCGTTGTCCGCAAGGATAGTCCGCATGTCCAGGTTGTGGTCGAAGGCGCAGGTGACGTGGAATGCGGTGACACAGGCGGGCATGGAGCACTGCGGGACAAGGACAGGGCTCAGCGCCAGGCACCAGCGCTGAGGGGACACTCACCAACACAACAGGCAACACGGGCACACCACAAACCCAGGGACACCACCAGGGTGACAGCTGCTGTGAAGTGATGGAGGCTCCACCACAGGAATTCCTGATGGAAGAACACCGGTATTGCCCTGGTCACAGAGACCCAAAGGTCCAACACCACAAACACAAGCAGAAGAACCCCAGGGTTCAAGAGGTGGCATTTTCCCACCTAACCTTCTTTAATCCACCCTCTGTAGTGGGCCCTGCTCATCTCTCACCTACCACAACCAGAAGCTTCCAAAGGTTCTTCCAACAAGACATGTCAAAAGCAAAGAACAGCACATGCCAATGGGATGCTCCAAGACTGGCAGTGGATTTGTCCTGATGGAGAAATGCTCACCTGTATTTCACCCTCAAGCTAATCCCTCTCTGTTACCAATCTAAAGTCAGTATGCCATTTTTACTGGAAGCATACAGAACACGGCAAGGTTTAGGAGAGAACATGGGATCTAAGAAGCAGCCAATGCTCCTAAACGCCTTCCTCCTCAGGAAATTACACAGCCTCTAACTTTCTTCATTTAAAAAAAGAAAGAAAAATGTAACTGGAGCAAAACATCACAAAATGAATGCTTTAGAACTTGTATATTGGCTACAATGTTGTCAAACTTGCATCAGATCAATTATTTTAATGATCTTCTGAACTTACCTCAGGCTTAAATTACTTTGGATCCCACAGGCAACAAATCTCAGCCTGGTGTCCCACAGAGGAACTCCCACCAGCCAGCGCTGTGCCCATGTCCATGTCAGCACCTTCTCCCCCTCCACTCATTAACTGTTTTTAATGGCTCAGAGTGTCAGGTAATTATTTCAACCATAACCCATAAGAAATCAGTCTATTCCAGCTGCTAATGACCAGTTAAACTGCAATAATGAGACCTTTTAAGTGGGCTATTACTGTAGGGCACTACTTTGGCTTTAATAGAAGAATTGCTCTTGTGGGGGATGAAGATGCACTTGTGGCCTGGAGGACCACGTGGAGGCATGTGAAATTTCCTGAATGTTGATGACAAACCGTTTAGTTTTACTGGGGCTCTGCTGCACTTTAATTCTCAAAAAGAAAAATATATTCTGGTAGTAGTTGAGGAACAGAAGTTTTACAGCTTTTTATCATCATCCCATCCATCAGCCCTGAATCCTGCTCAGGCACCCGGGGGCGAACTTTTGACGTTGCTGCTTTTAAATATTTTCCTTTGACTTTTTTCATGAGTCTGCTGGTGCTTAAGAAGCTGCCAGGACCAAGAAAAGCATAGGCAAGCACTGTCCAAATCCTTCACTTCCAGAGCTCTCCAGGCCCTGCTCCAAAGCCTCTGAGAGCAGTGGGAAGAGCTGGAGGCAGCTCTGGCTGTACCAGCATGGCTCTGGGCAGCAATGCTGGGCACTAACTCCCACAGGCACCACAAGCAAGCGGATTATTAACTCCAACACCACGTTCACCCTGTTTAAAAATGGCCATTTGTCTGAAATTTCAGTCTGAAATTGTTCACAAAAATATCTGGTAACTTGCAAAACTCATCTCCTCCTGTTCTGCTGCTGGCGCTCGCCTGGAGCCTGGCACTGTGGGGGACCCTGTGCCAGCCCAGGGCACTCAGCACCGCAGCGGGCACAGGGTGCCTGCCCTGCCACCCTGGCCTTCCCCTGGGACAAGCCCTGTCACAGCCACACACGCAGCTGAAGCACCAGCTCTGCTCTCAAGTATTTATTTTTGGCAATGAAGGAGGGACAGAGGGAGCCCAGCCTGACTTGCAGCTTCCAGATTTACTCAGGGCAGTCAGTATATCACATGCTGGCTTTTAAAGCACACACAGTGCTGTCCCTTCCCTTCTGTTTCTGCCATCAGTGCTAAAAACAGCATTAACAACACGCCCGTGTCTTCTGCCAGGACAGTGTCCTGCTACCAGGAATGACCATCACTCCACCTCAGGAATAAAGCAAATCCGGTGACACTCATCCTGGATCTCTCTGCTCCAACAGATGGCAAGCAGCACTTGTCAGAAACTGTGCCCAAAATGCAAACAGAAAATAATTAGGCAGCTCAGCTGACAGGGCAACAAAGAAAGATACCTGGTTGGCTACAGCCACTGAGGGACCCTGGATAAACTAACAATAAAAACATATTGATCCATCCCAGAATGGTGCTGGAATGAAGCCACTTGTGGCAGGAGGGAGGGATCTGCCACACAGAATGAACCAGGCTCAAAGACTGGAGCTTCGTTATCGATTGTGCTTCATTATCTTACAGCACCTTTCATTCAAGCACTTCAGCACGCTTTGCTTATCCAGGCAAATCCATTCCCAAATAAAATTGTGTGAGAGAGAGAGGGTAAAAACTGCCCCAGAGATTTAACGTGGGCTCCTAATTAGCCCTAAAATCATTCTTATTGGGAAGAAACAGATGATTTTAGTTGCCAAGGTCATTCAAACAGAAGTTTAGCAGCTTGCAGTGGTGCTCCACTGCAGTTTGGGGCTGAGGGGAAGGAAGCAGCTCCTCCAACAGACCTGCAAGGGGAGCTCAGGAAGGAAAAATTAATTACCGGTGCTGAACGCCGGCCAAGCCATCAGACACAACACTTCTGCATCCTTAAAACACTACCATGTGATTTTTTGTGACCACAGATGGTCTGGAGCCTGGTAGAGCTTCTCAGCTAAAAATGGCAATTTGAGCCTCACAGACCCCTCGGAGGATGAGGGGCAGAGGATGGATGGGACTGGGGCAGCACGGGCAACACACTCTGCTCTTACCCCTGGGGCCACGTGCTGCCTTTTCAGGCCTGCAGGGAGAAGACAGCTTTGGGAACCACCAGTTATCCCAGTGGATGAGGACCAGGGGCACTGCTTGCTTAATGGGAGGGGGTGGCAGTGGGCAGAGAAGTGATGATGAATGGGGGAGTGATGGAGGACATTTCCAAGGGCTTTTTCTCCAAAAAGTGACAACAAAAAGAAAGCTGGAAGATGATGACTTCTTTGGAGAAGCTTGCCAACAACCGAGAGAGCCCTGGCATTCTGTGCTGCCTCGGTGAGCTCTTCCAGTCACTCTGACAAGCAAGGAGGAGGGAGTGGAGTCCCAAAAAAGCATAGTCAGGACTCAGGCTGCACCAGAGCCTGGCTCCTGGCACCCTCTTTTCGATCTCAGAAATGCAAACAAGAAAATTCCTCCTGCAGTCTGAGCTCTCTGGCATCTCCTGATGTCTGACCACAAGAACCACCATGAAGTAATGACTTCCCCTGAACAGGAGTCAGGCAAAGGGTGTCTCCAGAGCTGCATCCCTGCACAGCATCCAGTACTTTAGGCTCACACCAAGTTACACTGGGCTCACAGCTCTGTACCAGAGAGCAGGGTTTGAGTTACATGCAGCAACAAGGCAAAAGGCATGGACAGCAGCAGGAAGCCCTTTCTCAGGCTTCTTTGAGTTTCTTTCCCTTCTGATGGTCAAATTTGGATGGGGGAAAAACATCTCCACACACAGAGATCCCTACAAAGACTTCTCATGTTTGCCTCTGCAAATGTGGCTGAGGTGGGTGTTTTCTCAAGCTGCAGTGCTGCCTCTGAGATGCCCTGCTTGGATGACAGTCTTTACTCCTCTAGCCTGCCTCCCAGATTTCACCTTCATAAAACCCTCTTGGCCATTTGGAAAACCCTCTCCTGGGAGCAACTTTCTTCTTTCTGCAGACCTGCCCACCTGCAGCACCTGACTGCTGCTGCCAGGAACAAACACCCAGTGCTTTTGCAGAAAACAACATTCTCCTTTCAGAGCTGGGTCACAAACCCAAAATGCTGACAAGAGTAGATCCCACCTGTATAAACAGGCACTAGCAAAAATATGCTCCATAAAATATGCTCCATAAAATATGCTCCACAAAATATGCTCCATAAACATAAGCTTTCAAAACAGAGCTCTGTACCATGGATGAGTACAGAGCGTATTTATTTACCTATGGGTGTTAATTTACCCCATAAATCCTTACATAAAGGCACTGCCTGCTTTTTTGTCACTTCTCCCCCTTTTCCTTGAAGCAAAACCATCCTGCACACGGCAGGGTGGCCTCGGCAAATGCTCCAGTGGCAATCTCACTTACAAACCATGAGCTGCCAGCACATGAGGCAGCAAGGCTCCAGTTCTGTCTCAGGTGACCTTTAATGCAAATCCATTCAGTACCCAGCATCTACAGCTCCCATGTCATGATGGCACTAAGAGGATGAAGCCTGAGAGACACTGAATTCTTTTTGATGCTGCCAAGCCTGTTTGCTTCCTTCCCTGCCCCTCTGTTCTTTGAAAGCAGTTGCCATTCTGACACAGTATCTCCATCTGGCAGGGTGAATAAGCACCCAGAGCCATCAAAAAATGAGTCAATGCGACAGATTTAAAGAAGTATTGTGAGATTTCATTTCAAACTATGGGGATTACTTTTAAATAGCTGCCTTTAAGGTATTAAACCCAAGATGACAGCACACACAGAGCTCAGCACTGCAGAGCTCCTATCCCTGCTGTCCTTCTGCCACCAGCCAGCAGTTCCTCGTCCATGGTCACTGCTGCAAACACTGACTTCCACTGTGCAGCTCCTGCTGAGCTACCAGAGCTGATCACTTGGGATCAGGACACATCCTTAAATTTCTCTCAATTTTTCAAAGCTTAATGGCTATTCTCTGGGACCACCAAGACATCACACTGGCCAAGCAGGTGGAAGGAGGGGGAATCAGGGGGTTCAGCAGGGCTCCCCAAATGCCCTCACACCAGGAGTGCTGCATTATGGATGGGAGCTTCTGCTCTGCTCCCCAAGGTCAGAGATCATGGTGTGGGAAGCTATGTCCCACTTTTGCAATAGAAAAGCCTGGAGAATCCTGCTTTCTTTCTGAAAACAGAATTTCTGCCTCTCCTGTTATGGTAGGGCAGGCAATCAGGTATCTGCAGTGGTTTGTTTAGGTGTGGCACAACAGAAAATGTGGAAATGTAATACATGGTAAGTACTTTATTTTCCCAGCCAGCAGGTCAGTGAGGACTATCCAACCCTGGTGAACCCTGATATCCCCACAACTGAAAAAGGCTGACCCCCTGAGGTTTGTGAAATACTTGTGTTATGTATCCCATGAGCATCCCACTTTCCTGGCAGCCTCACAAAGCCCTTCTCCTAGAGGTTTCTGATCTAAATCAAGGTCACTTGCAGTCCCAGTAATTAATGTCACTACAGCAACACCACTGTGTTATGCAAATAAAGTTAATCTAGATTTCTAGCACTCAGTGCATTAAATGATTGCAAACAACATCTGATGATGCCTGACAGGCTCTTGTCACTAGGTTTACTCAAAACAGAAATAAGTAATTCAGACCATGTCCTTCAGCATCTCAAGACTCTCCAGTGGCTGATACAGGTACAGCCCTGGAGCTCTGAGCTTCTCCAGTGCCAAGTTACATACCTGAATGCATGTCCCAGTGCACTCCTTGCAGAGGCTGCAGGACAAAGCCCATCTGCTTGCTGGGATATGTGAGATCTTCGTAATGGGTTCCATTTTTTCAGGACATCCAATGCTAACCTGGCCACAAGATAGAACACGAGTTGTAAATACCAGCTATGGTCCCAAATCTCCTACAAGGGGGTGCCTGTGGCAGTCTGAATGAGGGATGGATTATATTTCTTATTCTTCAGGGTCAGTTGTAATTTGGAAAAAAACCCAAACTCCCCAAACCAGAAACAAATCTGGATGACAAAGAAGAAAAAATTTATGTTGGTTTTTCCTCTGCATGAATTCCTCATCTGAGGTGTATCTCAGATGGGCATATGAAATTAGCTTTACTCTGCTCAAAGGTATGCCACTCCCTCTGTGGCCTTGCAGCCCAATTCTCTGCCCTCCTTTAATTAGCAGATCTTGGCTGCTAATTAAACACACGACAACTGCCCGGCGCTGTGGCTCTGGCACAGCCTGACCAGCCAAACCGCATTTGTTATTTACACCTCTAACAAACACCCTGGGCCAAGACCTGAAACCTCCATCCATGTGTGAGGAGGAGGCTGGGGAAGCTCTTACTTCAGGTATCCATAAGGCACAGCTAACGTGGACCCACTTCGTGCCGCTCCGGGTGGGCTTCAGCGCTCCCCCCCTCTTGGGGCACAGCAGACACTTGGGCTGGACTCCGAGGGCACAGGTCCGGCACAGCCAGCTCCCAATGGGCACCTTCAGGATGCCATAGCACGCCTGTGGAGACATGAGGGACAAAGGGTAATCCAGCAGCCCAGGATGAACATCCTCCCAGAGCTCCTCCGTCGCTCCCAGCTCTCTCAGTGCCGCTGCACCCCAGCGAGCAGCAGACTCAATGCAGCACAGACAGGGAGCTGAAGTTTTCCTTACTACCTTCCCTGTTTTCACATGGATGCTCACGGTGTGTCCTGGGTTTTAATTAAAAGCTAAGTATAAAAATGTGCTGTGCACCATGCCAAGCACCCAGCTGGCTCCAGGCTGGGGGTGGGCAGAGCCCCCAGCACCAGCAGCTCTGCGGTGCAGACATCTGCCCGCTCGTGTCCTGCCCCCTCCTGACCCATGATGACTGGGAAAAGTCAGAAATGCTGCGCAGAGAAATCTTCTGAGGTCACTGAGGGCTGAAAAGCCGCAAGCCCACGATTGAGAAAGTTGACCACACTGGTTAGAGACCCAGCACAGCCCAAAGGGGAAGCAAAAATAAATACGGAAAGGCAAAAAGGGGAAGGCAATAGTAATGAATGTAAATGAGATGGGAGGAACCAAAATGGATAATAAATCTTAAGGATGACACATTTAAAGGGGGCACAGACAAGTCTCCAGCCAAGAGAGTGAGACCTGAAAGACTCAGACTGCCCATGGAGCTCCCTGACCAGCTGTGGTAATGCAGGACACCAAGAAGCCAAAGTGTTTTATAAATATTTCTCCTCCGTACTTGGGGAAGAGCCAAATGATAAGCCATATCACATAATGATAAATACTTCCCACTTTCACCGTGATTTATGACTGCATTAAACAGCTACTGCTAAAACTAGACAGTTTTTAACTGGCAGGTCCTGATAACTCACACTTAAAGGGTTTTCAGAGGGCGACACACTGCCTTGGGCACTTACACAGGGCTGTGTCCCTATTTAAAGCAAGGAGATGTAATTAATTCTACATCTGGCTGCTCTGACATCCTGCAGAAGGCAAGCAGCCAGTGCTGACAAGGAGCCCCAGCACTGGTGGCTGTTAATTGAGCCCAGGCATTCGTCAGCTCCACTTCTTGAAGTTTACCCCCAAAAAGAGCAGCTTTTTTTCCTGCTGCTACAGGTCATTGTCACTGCAAGTGACAATACTGTGGGTGGGGACAGGAATAGAGGGGGCACATGGAGATGTGTGAGCTTGGCAAAAGTACATCATCAGTCTCTACTGGCCCAGAAGAGACTACAACATGACTTTAGTTTGCCCCAAATCAGAAATTGATAGTGGTTTCCAAGTGGAAAAAGCCATTTTGTGAACAGATTATTGGGATAACAAGGAATTAAGAGAGGAAATATTGCTGCGAGTCTGCATGGTTCAAAGAGACTTAACTGTGTGTTTCACAGTGCCTCCAAATCTGATAGATAAATCATTTCTGGAACATAGTTTTATAAAATATGTGATTTATTACCAGACAGGAATCAGCCCGATATGCACTAGCAGCAGAATGAACTGGCAGACTCATCTCAAAATCCAGGGGAAAGCAGGAATTATGACCATCTCTAGCAGACTCATGGATCTTGGTTATTATTTCTAGCGATTTTAGAGTAGCTGAAGGTGCAATTCTGCTCCTGAGAAGCAAATACAGGTCTTCCATCCCAGACAAGGAGCAGCTCTAGAAACAAGGTGCATTATCAGCTAAACACACTCTCCCAAGTCCAGCACCAGGCAGAAGGTGCTCCAGAAATATGAAGCCAGAGGAATGCTGAATAGGAGCAGCACAGCTATTTTTACTGCTGCATCTATTTGGGGTGCAACATCCCTGAGAACGAGATGTCAAAAAAACAGCGAGGAAGCCAAGCCACAGACGAGCTTGGTGTGGCCATGGAACAGAGGGCAGGTCCAGCCATGTGCCACACCAGGGAAAGGGAATTCAGTGATGACAGGCCCATGGCATGGTGGCTGGAAACTGAAGGTGGATCATTCCCATGCTAAGCAGAAGTGTGATGTTGTCACTGTGAGAGCAATGAACTGTGATTTAGCAGTGGGGGGCATGCTTCCACCTCGCTGACAATTTTAAAAGGACAACTGCATGTGCTTTCTAAAAGCTTCAGTTCACGGGAATTAATTAATAGCAAGCCTCATGGCTTGTGTTATGCAGATGAAGTGAGTACAACAACATCACTTGGCACCATAACCCACCACGGAGTGTCCCGAGCCCCTTCCCAACGGGATGCAAGAGGACAAGGCATGGCTCTGGTGAAGCCCACAGCACCAGCACCCATACGCCTGCAGGAAAGCATCATTCCCAGCAGGTTTTGGATGTGGTGCTGGCAAAGGCATGGGGCAGGTTAGATAACCATGATGCCACGTAACACCCTGCACTGTGCCTCTGGACTTCGTGGCTTAGGGTGTAAATCAGGGCAGAGATTAAATCACGGGCAGCTTAGGGGCTGGCATAGAGCTTAGGGCTGGACTTTGCTCCCTGAAAACAACTGAAAATCCCTCTTTTCTTTCAACAGCCTTGAAATCCAGGCTGCTGTGTCCCCTTCTGCAGCACTGGGGCTGCTGCTGAAAGTGGAGCCCACACGGTGCTACAGCTCCTCCTGAGTCCCTGCTGTGGCTCATGCCAGCTCACAGCCTGACACTGCCACTTGGGCTTGTTAAAAAAGAACCCAAGACAAAAAAATACCTCGAACCCACCCCTGAATCATTCTGGTATTTTGTGGAATCTGATTCACTGATGGAAACCATTCAAAACACCCACCACCCGCAACTATAGATATCTCCAGTGCTCTCCCACCTCCAGGAAGCACTGATGGAAAAGCTGCCCAAAAGATGAGCAAATGGCTCTCTTTAGAACTAAAAAAACCCAAAATCGTTCACACAGAGGCTGCTGCCATCCCAGCACCACACAGTGCTTCCTCTTGAAGCATGACCAGTAAAACCTCCCTGGATCCACAAGGACCCAGGAGACCCTCATGTGGCTGCCTTCCCCTTGTCAAGGTTTCCCCAAAAGCAGGAGGCCCACAGACTCCTCCCAGCACGAGCCTGAAGCATTACCATTCAATTCTACAAATAAAATTATTTTCCTCCAGGCAGCAAAATAAAATGAAATCCCACGCTCACACAGTGGGGAAGCTGGGACAGAAATGCTGCGATGTGAGACCGCAGTGGTGGAGCTGGAAGGTCCAAGCACTCCCCAGACAAAGCAGAGGAGGAGGAGGGGGAAGCTGAGGTGTCTGTGCAAGCCCACCTCTCTGGTGAGCACAGGACTGCAGACCCACATCCCACCCAGACACATGCCAAGTCTTGCACACAGTGCTGGTCACTTGAATGTGCTAGAGATCCCACTGGGGCTCCATAAATGGGGTAAAGAAGAATAAGCATATTAAAGGACAAGGAGACATAAAATAAAATATCCCAGAGACCACAGAATAAGGAGGAAGGGACACTTCAGCCTCTGGTTGTGTGTTTCTGAGGGCACTTATAAATGGTTGGGGGTAAGAAAGTAAGAAAAGCAAGTCTGCTGTCTGCCAGCTATCCAAGACCCCGCTGCTGTCCCCACTCCTCTGGAGCTGCACTTGGGATCCAAGAGGAAAGCTCACCAGGTGTCTACAGCAGCCCAGGGGAAGGGATGGGAGGAACCCAGAGGAGGAGGGTACCAGAGTGCCATGAGCAGAGCCCGGGCTCACCTGGTGCACGCAGACGTTGCACTTGTCACAAAACACCATCTCGTTGCCGTCCTCCCCCTCGGGCGAGCGGCACACGTCACACACCACGTCCTCGTCGTACTCGATGCCCAAGCCCTCCTCGGTCTCGATGGCGATGTTCATGTTCTCGTAGCACATGGTCTCCAGCTCCTCCAGCACTCGCTCCAGGGTGATCTCGTCCAGCTCGGGCTTTTCTGCAGGGCGGAAGGCAGAGCATGAAGGCAGCGCCACCGAAGCGGCTCCGGCACGGGCGCCCGCCGCCCTCGGGAGCGTTCTGCCAGGGGCTGGGCACTGCAGACGGCGACTCCAGAGGCAAACCCACAGCGAGGCTAACAGCGGCGATTCGGAAAACGGCTGCTCCTAACTCGGGATGCAGTTTGTATTTCATAGACAGTAACAACATATTGCTGCTGGCTGAGAGGAAGGAAAGCCATTCAGCTGAAGCAATGCAGATAATTGGGGCTGACAGTTTAAATGTTCAAGGAGACAAGTTTTGCAAAGATGCTTTCTGCAGAGAGGGCTCAGACAAGCTTTGGCAACACAAAGTCAGTGCTTTAATTGTTAAGACTAATTTTAAGGCCAATTAAACGGAAATGTAAAACTGAAGCCAAAGGCAGAAAGACGATAAATAAGGGGGGTTTTTTGTGTTTGGGTTTAGTGAAATTAGAAGGTCAGACCCAGGTGGGTCTTTTATTCCCCCCACACCAGGATCTTTAATGGAGAGAGGTGGCAGAAATGCTTTACCAGAGCTTTCTCCACAGAGACAACCAGGTCTCTGTGTAAGGTCAATAACCAGCAGAGGTTTTTTCAGAGCAGCAACCTCTAGGAGTGGGATACTCAGCTGCCTTTAGACGGGGCATGCTGCTACCAGGAGCTCAGCAGCCCCAAAATGGTGCCACACAGAAGGCTTGTCCCAGAAGTGCTGCCTCCCACCTGCACACAAAGATCCTGGTGCCAACAAATGCAACGTGAGGTCACTCCAGGCAAGGAAGAAAATCTGTCAGGAGCAGGAGTGAGGTTCTCCATGAAGGGTTAGAGGCAGAGTTAAGCCCCCATCACACCCTGTCTCCCAATGAGCTCTATGTCATCAGAGGAGAAGGGACAACAGAAGTACCAGCAGGATGCAATACAAAACAATTAGACTTTGTAGTTCATTAGTGTGAAATATCCACAACTGGCCAGACAGTGGAAGGGCCTGACCCAAACTGCTGTCCACCCACCTTGCTCCAAAGCAATGGAAGAAAATACCTCATTTATAAGCAGAGATGGAGAAAAGGGCTTGAGGAAGAACCCATAAGGAATAGTTACTAATTAAATGTTCAGTAAAAAATTTGGCATCCTGGTCATCTCGCAAGCCACAGAGTGATGTCCCTGTTCTGGGCTGAACTCTGGGCTGCTCTAAAGCCCCAAGGGATGGGGTTGCAGGGGTCCCAGCACCTCTGTCTGGATGGGGCTGGCAGAGGCTGCATCTTTTCCCCCCATAGCCACTGATGAACTGAAAAAACTCTGTCAGGGGGGAAAGCATCACGTAGGCGAGCTCGGCAAGCAAACACACCATTGTCTGCCTTTTTAAGCTCTTCCCCAGTGTTTCACTGGCACGGTTTCCCTTGGCTTGACAAGTCCCTGCAAACATCCAGCCTGGCATTTTACACGTCTGTGTCGAGTCTGAGATACCATCTAAGACAGACAACACTGTTCCCTATCACAGCCCTTTCAAGAGCTCGGGCTGCTGTGCTGCAACACGCCAAGGAACCTGCTGATACCTGTTTGATCCCACAGCAGCCCCGGGATGGGCGTGGGATCTCAGCCCCAGGCTGGCACAGGCTGCCTGGGGCCTCTGCACTCAGCAATGTGAAGCATCCTGCACTAGCACAGCGAGTTCTGAGCACCAGCGCTGGGATGCAGCCACCATCTTGCTCTTGGCACTGTTCCGGCTGGATGTCATGGAAACATGGAATGGTTTAGTTTGGAAGAGATCTTAAAGATCTTCTTGTTCCAGCCTCCCCTCCATGGGCAGGGACACATTCCACCAGACCAGGTTGCTCCAAGCTCTGTCCAAGCGCTCCCTTGAACACTTCCAGCCACAGCTTCTCTGGGTAACCTGTGCCAGAGCCTCCCCACCCACATAGGGAAAAATTTATTTCAATCTAAACTGATCCTCTTTCAATTCAAAGCCATCCCCCTTGTCCTATCATTGCCTGCATGTTACAGAGAAAGTCAGAGCATTATTTTTGCCTTAATGGAGTTCCTTTACAAACACACCACCCAAGGTGCACTTGCTCAACATGACTTTTTGTTATGTTATGTTATGTTATTAAACCAGTCCAGCAAGAATATCCTCCTCTTGGTCAGGGTTTCAACTAACCATCTGTGACTATGAGCCTGGGCGCCAGAGTGCCAGTCTGGAGTTACTCCATTCCTCCCAACATTTCAGGCTCTGCTCTTCTGGAAAGCAAAATGATCATCAAGGTGCTCCCAGTGCTTTTCCCCACACACTTTCCAGAGCTGCCCTGTGCTCCTGGGAGAGGGCAGGCAGCAAGCTGTCAGCTGCAGGCCGCATGAGGAAGGAAAGGGAGGGGGTTTTCCACAGGAATCATGAACTCAACCTTGCCCAGGGTCAGCATCATGCTGGCATTGCCACCGTTTCACTTCACCTCGAGTGGAAAGAAGCAGCAGCCACCCCACCTCCTGAATTTTCCACCATCACCTGCTTAACCCTGGGGAGAAAGTTCATGCTGATCCCAAAACTCCTGTGCCAGAGGAAGGCCAGAGGCAGAGGGAGAGCAGTGCCTTGGTGGGGTTCCCTCACCACTGTCTGTGGCATGCAGCTCTTACAGCCCTGCATGGGAGCATGGATCCGTCCCCCTGCACGCACACACACACACACACACACACAGAGGCACTCTCACGCTCCATTTAGGTGTAATTACATTAGGAATGCGTTTGCCAAGCGTCATCCCAAACACCTCGGAGCTTATTGAATTGACAATTGCACTTGATGGGGATGAAGCGATTAATCGTTTGTGAAACACTAAACAATGGGGCCTGGGGGTGAAGTGCTTTTTCCATTTGTGCTCCATTTATCTCCTTCTGTATCATATGAAGTTTGTGCTACTAAACTCCATTCATAAAATTGTCATCTTTTTGGCTGCAAAACTCTCTCTTTATTGATCGTGGCCAGCTAAACAGCAAACAAAAAAATCCTCCACCAAAACACTCCCTGAGTGTACAAGCACAAGTGACACTATTACTGTCCCCAGAGAAGGAAAGCAAAGACACAGGCAACTGCTCTTGGCCACAATTAACAAATCCAGTGATGTCCACATTTGGGTCCATCACCATGTCAGCGGGCTCTACCTGCACACCAAGAGAACAGTATTTTCACCTGGTTAAGGTGTGCCAAGTTCTTAAGCAAGAAAACAAACCTCTTATGAGCCCCCACAGAAGACAGCAGTGATAGCCATAAACTTCTTCAGAGTTTCTGTCTGGAGAAACACAGGCAGTGGTCAGGCTTCAATCCAGTGCCAATATAATCCCTGGCCATTTAGTTCAGAACACCAACACAGGAGGAGTATGTCCCATCACCCCTTCCAGGAGGCCACCCACACCCTTTCCCCATTAACACTGAGTTCATTAACAATGATGGGTTTTGATGTGGCCACCCAGCCTCCCTGGAACACCCCAGTATTGCCCCACAGTGGGAAGGGCTGCAATCCAGGGAATGCTGCCTCCCACGGCATCTCAGATGGGCAAATCTGCCCCCTCTGCACAGGGCAGGATGCTGCAGGGTAGCACCTTCCCAGCTAAAGGAAGCACCAAAAAGTGGGACTTGCTTCAGAAATGGAGGAGAAGAGGTGACAGACAATGATGCACTACAGGAGGTCTCCAGATCTGATTCATGAAAAGAAAACATGAAGGAACTTTGCCCCAAGCAGAAAAGTCTTGCCTGTGTGTCTGAGTCAGGGCCTGCCATGATCCCTGCAGCTCCACAGCCACCCAGCATCCCCATCATCCCAGGGGCTCCCAAGGGCCCAGCCCAGCTCCACACAGCTCAGCCCTTACTACTGCCCATACAGCACCTGAAACACAGAATTTTAACACTCCATCCCAAAGGAGCTGGGATTCCTGGGCTGGCCCCACAGCACCAGGCACATTCCTCCACACAACGACGCCCTCCATTGTAATTATTCCTGTAATATTGTAATTTATGTGGCATCAAGGAGCAATATTCTTCTGCTAAATGAATTCTCAGTTACTCCTTGTTGTGGTGTGAGCCAACTCACTGTGAGGGGAGGAAAAAAATAGCTGGAGAGCCACCTTTCACAAAATAGAGACCTATTTCTAACTGAACTGTGCTCCACTAATATCAATTTACTGAAACAATAAATCCTTTCCCCCTGTGGAGAATACCTGGAGATAGAAACAGCTCATGAACAAACAGCTATCAGGACTGCAGGCTGTGCCATTCACTGATTCACAGACTATAAACCTGGGAGTCTACTTTTCAGGAAATATATATATAAAAAACCAATCAAAATTGCTGCTTTTCAAAAGTCTAATAAAAAAGGGAAAGCAATTGTGAGATGATGTAGGCTTGTCTTTGACTATCTTTGAAAACCTGAGGTGAAAAAACGACAGGTCCCTGATGGGATGGGGTGTTCACACGTGGTACAGGGACCACACACTCCAGAAATCTCCTTCCAGCTCACTGGCCCCCCAGCTCGCCCCGGGCAAGCCACTTCGAACCTGTCTGCTTTGGCACTTGTGGGGACAACAGCCACCCTGCCCCGGGCTGAGTGCCCCCCTGGGCATCCCTCAGGGACATCAGGGGATGACAGCCAACCACCTGAACACCACACCAGACCAGCTGGGACTCCCACAGCCACCTCCAGCCCACCACCTGCAGACACACAACCCCTGGACGATGCAGCAATTGTACATTAATCTTTTATCAATGTTATTTATAACCAGACCCTGCGTGTAAAGTGTGACCAACACACAAACAGTGAACTGAGCATTCATAGTGAAACCTCCAGACATTTTGTTACAAACACATACTGCTAATGCACTTTAAAAGATTTACAGGAACCAATTATCACCCTTTCTGCCACCCACCGACATCAATTATTGCTCAAATTTAAGATGATGACAAAATGTTTCAGAAGCCACTTTAGAAGCCGCTGCCTCTCTGCAGCGATGCTTGGCTCTGACAGGGCTGTCCTAGAGCACTCCTGATGAAAGCCTCCTCACCCCATCAGCAGCAAAACTGGAGTATTGCTGGAAACTACTGCAATTACTGCCAGGAATTTATGGAAACAGCAAAACAGCGACTTGATGTAAAAACTGATTGCACTGAAAATGTGGAGGGAAAATGTCTTAAGAGTCTCCCACTCATCTCCAGCCCTGCTAATCTATACATTAGAACATCACATACAATTAACACATTCATTTACATGTGGTATTGATTACCTGTATCTCAAAGGAGATAAATAAGCTCAGATCCAGAGGCTTGTGGTGTTTTACAGAGGGGAATAGCTTCAAACTGGCAGAGGGCAGGATGAGATTGGATATTAGGAGGAAATTCTTCCCTGTGAGGGTGGGGAGGTCCTGGCACAGGTTGCCCAGGGAAGCTGTGACTGCCCCATCCCTGGAAGTGTTCAAGGGCTTGGGGCAATCTGGGCTAGTGGAAGTTGTCCCTGCCTATGGCAAGGGACTTGGAATGGGATGAGCTTTAAGGTTCCTTCCAAACCATTCTACAATTCTATCCTGGGGTGTCCTGCAGCTGCTTGGAAACAGGCTCTGCCTGGGGAGTGCCAACCTGCTGCCTCAGGGTGCAAAAGGGGCTCCCAGAATCCCAAAAGGATGCAGTGGGATGGGAGCAGCCTCAGAGTGCGACACCCCAGACTGCCAGGGTGGGAAGCAGGCACTCTGTGAGGAGCAGGACTGACAGCAGCCTCTGCTGCACTGAGCACATCTTGCCCAGGGTACTGCACTGACTCCAGCTTATTTCACTTGACCAATCTCACCTCTGCCGAGGGAGGCACCATCTCATTAGCACACAGACATATCTCAAGTATGCAGCGATGAATTCCCCCCGGAGCTTCAAAAGCAATCCATGTGACCTTTGCATGTTCCTGCCATAAAATACCAGGAACACCTCCAGCTCCAAAGATAGAAGCTGTGGTGGGCATATGTGAGCAGAATACACCATATGGATTAAGTCAAGGGAATACTTAGAAACTTCAACTCTGCCTTCAGCAAAATTGATTCCGACAACAATTTTAGCAATTTCTTGAGGATTTTCCGTGTGTTTATGAAGTGCCGATCACTGCAATAGGATCTTTGAGCCTTGGTCTTTGAAGTCTCTCTAGCTTCACTCTTACAATAGCTTTGGATTTAGTGGAGATCACAAAACACAGCATAAAATGTTACTGTAAAAATGAAGACTTATGGCATGGCTGCTGTCTAAAAGGACAGGCCTGTGCTGCCTGGAGTGGCATGGACATTAATCTGGCTCTGGGCTCCATTCAGTCTTCTTCAGATCCACTTTTTTTACAATCTCATATTGCACCAGCAACAAATAAAACACTTAGGCATGCCTAAATACTGACTTCATCTCCAGCACACAAAGGTTCTTTAAACAGCACATTTCCATCGAGTACAGCAACAGCTACTGAGGCATCTTACTAGGGGGTTTAAAACTATTTAAAGCTGTTTTATGCTTAAAACTTTTGCTTTTCATGTGAAACCTTTGCTTTCTGGAGCAATTCCACTTAATTGGAAGAGGAGTCAGCAGGCAGAATGCAGAGAGCTGGAGCTATCTGGAGGTTTATCTGATCTTGGTGATAAAATTCCATCCCTGGGGTGACCTAAAAAGGACTGGAAAAGGCATGTGCTGTGTGCTACGTAGACCCACGAAAGGCGAGCTGGATGATCTCATAGGTGTTTTCCAGCTCTCCTCCCCGCACATCCTCAGGAGCCAGTCAGAGATCTGGATCCCTCTTTGTCATTAAATATTTTGGGAATGACACATTGTGCCCCTGGACAGCCCAGTGACAACAGTTCAGCCAAACACCCATGAGGAATTTAAACTTCTGCCTACCTCCTAAATTAATGCTGGGAGATAACTCCTGACTCCTCTGAATGGGAGGAGAGGCTGCTGTTCTCCAGTTAAGTCATGTTAATGATCTTGGAGATTAGCAAAGCAGGTTTGGAAATCTCAGCAAGTCATTAACGGTGTCATTAATGTCAAGGGCTTCCGGGAGAAAGCACTATTTATGGACTGCCTTTGGACCAGCCCAGGCAGCAGCAATCCTCTGCCTTGGGTGGTGAAGGGCACCCAAATCCCACCCTGGCTCTTCCCATCTGGGGAGCAGAGGGAGCAAAGCCCCTGCTCTGTCCCAGCCTAGGAGCTGAGCAGCAATAGATTTGCTACAGCAGCTTTCCTCTATGAGCCCCCAGACCCCATCACTTCCATGGGCAGGAAGATGCATCCCCTCACACAAGCCCAGTGACCTCCAGCCTCCACAGCAGGCATGGCTGCCATGGGTGATGTGACCATGATCCTGCACTAGGAGCACCAGCTCCCATCCTGCTTTCCACCTGCCAAAGCCCCAGCTCCCCACAGCACCAGGGATGGGGTATCATCAAAGCCACATCTCTTCCTCTCCAAGTCACTGGAAAAAATGCACTAGCCCTTGCCAGGCTAAAGAAATTGGGAGGACTGGTGGAGGGGGAAAGATATCAGAATCTACTGGGCTGAAGCTGTATCCACAGTGGATTCCACATATCAAACACTGCTTTTCAAAGCTACTCTCTCCCCAGCATGTTTAAGGCTCAGCCAGTAATGACAGTGCTCCCTCAGTGGCAGGAATGGGCTGCAGAAGCAGGTGATGGGCAGTGATGTTCTCTGCACCACCACTGCTGGGACCACCTCGGTCCTCACCACCTTATCATCATCCTTATCACCATCTAGACTTGGTGATGGCAGGAAGGCCAAGGGTTTCCTCAGATTCTGTGGTTTCATCCAGCCCAGCCCTGGACAAACATCTCCTAAGGAGATTCCTTGGAAAAGGTGACTGGCTGATAAATGATGAGATGGAGGTTAAAAAATGCAGCTTGCTGAGGACGGCCGAGGGTCAGCAGCAAAGCACTGCCTGTGTCCTGCCTTGGGAGTCCCTGGGCTGCTGAGGTGCCAGCCACACACACCTGCACAGAGCAGGGGTATGGCTGGGATGAAGCTCAGCCTCCCCTCCTAACTCAACTCACTCCCAAGGCAGTGCTGCTGGAGAAGCTGCTATGCTACTTCAGCACTCGAGGGTTTGGCACGTGCCAGCCCAAAGGTGACATGGGGGACAGCCAGCAGCCAGCTCCTGTCTGGCCTGGGGCACGGACCTTCCAGTTATCTCAACCTTCCATCACCCCAGGAGCTCCACATCTGGAAACTGCATTTGAAAACCAATACTTTGAAGAAATAATAAAGCAAGGCAAATATAATCCAGCTGAGCTGGAGAAGCCAAATCTCTGGCCACTTCATTTCTAGAGACTTATGAAATACACACAAGAGGAAGTGGACATAGAGACAATTCTTCTCTGGAGCCCAGAGACACTTCTGATGGCCATGCAGCTGTGGAGAGAGCAAGAGAAATGTAGCAGGGGATACAGTGAAGGCACAGTGGGGTCAGAATGATGCCCAGTGTGGTTGAAGGGGGTTTCTTGATGCACCAACAGCAGCTGTGCATGGTTAGGAAGGATGGATCCTCTGCAAGTCCTGAGCAGGACTGAGGCACTTGACTTTATTCAGAAGCACTCTCTGCTCTGCACAAGGACTTCACTGTAGCTGCCAGTGCCTCAAAACCCCCGTGTGCTAATGACAGAGCTGAGGCTGCTAATACAGGACCAGCTAATGAGGGCAGAACTATCTTGTGATTTCTCTGTGATGCTACAAGGTCCACAACGTTCACATTACGGGAAACACAATATACAGGATACCTATACCAGATAATCAGACAAACTGTGAAAGCAGCTTCTACAACTTTCTCAAGGTCATGGTAACAAAATTGCATTGTAAATCATGAGTACACCAGAAGGACAGATCTTCCAAAACCAACATCAGTCAATGTCACAGCCAACTTCTGAGCTCACCTGCGCTCCACAAGCTCATTGAACTGCATCTTCCTGACCTCATCCTGAATCCTGCTGCAGCCCTCAACCAGCTGCCTGTGAGAGCCAGCCCAACTCTCCTGCTCTGCAGTGCACTATCCCATCTGCTCAAGCACCTGGTAAAATCCTTTTTCCCACTCTTGAAAGGCCTCTGCCACCAGGACTAACCCTTCATGTAGGCATGCTTGAGCCTTCCCTGACCTCACAAGGTGAATGCTTTATTGAGGTATTACTCTTACCTGCAGGGCAGCAGCCACACCACAGCAACCCTTCCCTAACAAGGACTGGAAAATCCCTCCACAGTCTGGCAGGACTACACACACCCATGGGTCTGTGCCAACAAATTTGCCCAGCAGACCATGCTAAGCACTAGTGCCAATGGTCAAATTCCAAGCTCAGGTACTTGCACTCGACTAAAATCCACTAAAGGATTTGAAGAATGTGCAGTGATATAACAGCAGTGATGCAGGCAATGTTATTCTGTGATTATCCAGAGATGCCTGGATCTCTGGAAACAATCAGGACCAGCGTTTCTGACATTTCTTCTTCAAGGACTTTAGTTGACATGCTTACTCAAAAAGCCTGAATGCCCATTGTGGGACAACCAGACCAGAAAAAAAAAACCCAAAAACACAGCAATACTCACCCATCTCCTTGAGCTCCATGTTAACAAGTTCCAACCAGCAGGCATCGAGCTCGTCCAGGTCATAGCGGCTCATTCCTTGCAAGTAAGTCCTTGTGGCTTCTGAAATCTCAGAGCCAGGCAGGCTGCTCGGTGAAACCTGTGAAAGCGAGCTCTCCAGCTGGGGGATGATCCTGCAAGAAGAGAAGGGGAGGCTGAGAAAGAGCTACAACTCAGAAAAATACTCTGTTTCTTGCCATGGAGGGTGAAACCACACTGGGCACCTCACTCTGTGAAGGAAAACAAAGCCACTGCACCTGGAGTCAATGCATGGGCCAGCACTGACAGACAGCCTCAGCAGAACTACAGCAAGAGTGTTCCCATTCATCCACAGAAATTAACCCTTTCCATGAGAAAGATGAGGTGCAATGGAGATGATGCTCCAAGTACTGACAGCAAGCCCCCCAGCCATTAACTGCTCCATGAGCACCTCCAGTGTGCTGCACACTGCAGTGCCACATCCACGCCGTGCTGGGCAGCATTTTGGTGTTCTTGGCACTGGAGAACATCCCATGGTGGCCTGTGAGATTTGTTCTGAGTGCTCTCTAGTCACAGCCACAGGGATGGGGAGAGGAGCTGCCTCATCTGCTGCAAACTCCCTGCACAGAGAGCCACCAGGCACGGGCTGTCAGCTCTTCTGCCTTTCCTTGGCAACTCTGCAGCAATACGCATGATACTTGCCATGCACATGTCAACAGTGTCATGCCCAATGACATGCAAGCAGAGGACAAGCTGGAAATGAGAAGCAGCCTGTGGTGCCAGCTGACAGATCTCAGCAAAGCTGGGAGCTGGAGCTTGCTGCAGGATTTGCACAGCTCACATTTCCTCCCCTGAAATCCACCTCCTGGCAAAGATATTAAGCCAGAAAGATGCTGCAAAGAAACAGCAACCAAACACACCTCACTGCAGCATGTCAGCCCCTTCCAAACAGCTTCTCCCCATGCAAAGCTGCAGGACCCAGCCCTGCTCTTGCACCAGGGCCAGCTGGGAAGGCCGCTGATCCCTGCAAGACTTTTATCTGCCTTCTGTCCTGCTATGTAAGCTAATGTCAGAGCATGGAGTGCCTTGTGCTCTGTGATGTTCTGGGGCAAAGCCATGGTGTCCATGACAGAACCAGATGAACTGTGGTACCAGATGCTCCCAGGTCTGTATGTGCCAAGGAGAGAAGCTTGAGCCCAGCTGTCCTTGGGAATGAGACCCACCTGCCTTGCCCATGGTCAGGAAGGAAATCTATGGCAGGGCAGGAAAATGAACCTGGAGTTTCTACAGACCCAGACATGCAGTTTAATTGCTGTCCTCTGTGCTCATAAACACTGGAGGTACTTCCAGAGCCACCAGCAGAAGAAGCAGCAATTTATGGCTCAGAGAAGGAAACATCAAGAAATGGGTTCTTATTATCTCTTTTGCTTTACTTTCCCCACCAGTCAATTGAAAATAAACATGTGACCCAATTTCCTGAGTACATCTCCAAATTTAAGTTAAAGAACCAAAAAGAGCCACATGGAAGGACAGCTGTCAGTCCCCACACTTTAAAACCATCTCACTATAATCTAGGATAGGACTTGGGGATTCACTGACATCTCTAATACAGACATTAGAGGTATGTTCCAGTCACAGCTTCAGGGTTGGCATCTAAGGAGCTTCCAAACTCCTAAAATCAGAGAATCACACAATGGATGGGGTTGGAGGGAGCCTTAAAAGATCATCCAGTTCCAGCCCTCCCTGCCACAACTTCCACTGTCCCAGGTTGCTCCAAGCCCCATCCAGCCTGGCCTTGGACACTTCCAGGGATGGAGCAGTCAACAGCTTTTCTGGGCAACCTGTGCCAGGGCCTCACCACCCACACAGGGAAGGATTTCTTCCTAATATCTAATCTAAATCTGCCCTCTGTCAGTTCAAAGCTCTTCCCCTCTGTCTAGTCACTACTGGACTAAAAAGTCCCTGTCCAGCCTTTCTTGCAGCCCCTTTAGCCACTGAAAGATGCAATCAACAAATGAATAAAGCAGGAGCTGCTGGTGCAACGTGCACTGGTTCACATCAGACTGAAGCTCTCCTTCCCATGAGCCCAAGTCTGGGTCATCCCTCACAGAAACAGAACCTGGGTGTGGGAACAGCCAGGCTGGGCACAGCCCTGTTACAGGAGAGAAAAAAACAGTCCTCCACCTGCAATAAATGCTGCTGTTGGGAAGAGCTGCCTGAGCAGGCACGAGGTCGGGGCCATAAGCCCTCATTAAGCCAAGTTACACAAGCTGCTCACCCAAAAGCCCCTGCAACAGGTGATGCTCTGATACCGAGCCAGCACGGATGCTCGGGATGGCAGGAGGAAAGAGCTGCTATTTTTACCCTGGCATAACATTACAAAGATTAATGCTCTGTGTACATATCAAAGGAGTATCCTGAACAGGTCATTTACTGTACTGAGAGCACTGAAATGCACTCAGTGTGGTAAGGATGCTGACGTGACTGGAGCAGTCCCTTGGGGTTACCTCACACAGTGCACACAGTACTGCCCATCAAGAGCAGTGTGTGGGACCAGCCTGAGCCTGGGCACATCCCCTCCCACCTGGGCACACAGCTCCACCTCCTTTCTGCAGGTATCTTATGGAGAAGTTCTGCTGAACCTGATGCTCAGAGACAGGAGACAAGTGACTGTCCCCTGGAGTCATGCAGCCACCTCCCCAGAGCTCCCAACCCCCATAAACCTGGATTCATGTTCAGACTCTCAAACCTGGATTCATGTTCAGACTCTCAAACCTGGATTCATGTTCAGACTCTCAGGTCCTGGCTGTGCACAGTCCCTGGTGATGCAGAGATCACAGGGGCTCACTGATGGTAACAGCTCCACCAGTGCTCAATGTCCAGCTCTTTCTGACACTGTAATTAAATGCAGTTTGCTTTGGTTTAATGGGAACTGGCACTTAGAAAGTGACATTTTGCCTCTCACCACGTCACTGATGATGAAGATCAAGGTAATGAAGATACAAACATCTAACAAGCTCACCAGCACTCTGTTAAAAGGTTTGAAACATGTCAGTGCAGTGAAGGCAGGTGCCTCTCCCTGCCTGGGAACACAGGGATCAGGGAGGGATGATCAGGTGCTGCAGCACTCAGCAGACACTTTCCTACATAAAGTAAAGTATTCATATGAAAAGTATCTTCTTAAGAGGATCACTGAACTTTACTTTTGATGCTTCCTCCCCATAACCCCATGCTGATCTAGCAGCATGGGCTGGGATCCCCTGGAGTTAATTCAGGCTTGGGGATACATGTTCAAGCCATTTTCTCACCATTTCAAATGCCAGCAAACAGAGAAGGTCAGAAACGAAGAAACTGAAACAGCTGCTAAATTATTTTTTAAACAGTGAGAAACTTGTATAACCCTATGAAGACCTGCTGGAAGCCTAGTCCAGATCAACTCCCTGACTCATCTGCAGCACTCAGGTAAACACAGGGGTTTAAGGCTTGCAAACAATTCAGCAAACCCTAAGAGAGCCTGTGCCTGCTCCCATGAACATTCCTCCCACCCTGACGGGAGCTGGAGGCTGCCAGATGCTGAGGCTCACATGGGGCATCCCAGTGCCCCAGAGGTGCACAGCCTGCCACTGGTTGCTGGATTTGCTTTGGTGGATAAAATCACATTCCTAAAAAGCAGCCCACTCCTTCCTGACACACGCTAACACACCTGCAAGGAGCTCCCTGGTGTTGAGATATAAAAATCAGTGACTGCAGTGACAGTGCCTTAGGCTACAGGAGCTTTGGAAGGAAGAGATCCTACAGTGTAAGACAACAGAGCAATCCTTTGGGAAAGACCATGCCCTGCCTCACAGCAATACAGAAAACAGACCAAGCTGGGCACCCTCCCTCACCTCCAGCACCTTCAAGTCTGGAGCCCAAAAAGTTGCAAGCTTTGTGCTGTCCAAACACTGCAGTGGAGACATAGCAAGAAAAAGGGAACAAAGCACAGAGGCTGCTCTCACCAGTGTCTATCCATCTCCTGCTGGGCTCCAAGAGCTGGGGATGTCATCAGGGCTCCCTTTTGTGCAGGGACAAGTCTTAATCCATTGGGAAACAACGGGTTTTGGTTTTTGGTTTTTTTTTTGTTTTTTCCAAATTGCTGCTTGGTGTACAAAGAAATACCCAGGCTGGGTGATGAGGAGTCTGCACACGAGCCACCAACTCACCCAAATTCACCATCGTGGCACAGAATCACAGAGGCAAAGCCTCCACCAAGAGCCACACCATCCACAGAAGCTCGATTACACAGGAGGAGCATTTACTCCTTTATTTATCCAGAGACACAGCATTTTTTAAAAAATCCTGTATCAGTCAAAGGCTCATTTAAACAAAGGGCTGAAAATTGGGATCAGCCTGAAAATCACAACAAACCTGAGGCCATTAGTCTGAAAGTGGGTCTCAAGGGCACTTGAGGAAAAGGAGTAAGTGGACCCCAACACTCTTGAGGATCACATCTGTCCCTGGAGAAGATTACACAGTAATAAAATATACTCAGCAAATTCCCATGGTTAATCATCTCTGTAAACTGAATGCTTCACTTGGCTGAAGGGAGAAGGCTTTTTTTTTTCTATATGCTCCCTTTTAATATATCAAATAGAAATAATTAATCCTGCATGGTGTTTCTCATCTAAAAATACTTAATTTTATTACAACGAAGACATTAGTCAGTAATCTTTTCTTTACCTCCATTCCAGTCTAAATTAGTCTTGTCCAATGTCCATAAATAAATGAGCTTAAGAAAGTCAGTGGAAAGATAGCTCTGCCAGCAACCTTCAGTGCTGATACTGCTCCTACCGCCAGCTCTGCTTGTGGGGGAATTCTCCTGTGGCACACAACAGCTTTAAAAGGGCAGTTTAAAGGGATGATTTTCACTTTCTGTTTATTAAAATAGTATCTAGCAGGCCATTTGGACTGGATACCCCACTTTCTTATGAACTTAAGCTTAACAGATTTTATACATGCTATTGCCTCTCAATAGCAGAGAGGAATTTAAGCATTTAAGTAAGAAAAGGTGCCTAGGGGTATAAGGGTGAAGGATAGGGTTGGAGATAGTGGTGGATGGTCACAGTAATGAGCCACAACCCACATACAAGGGTTGTGATCCTCAGCATTCCCACAC